ACATGAGATGGGGACTGACTTAACGATGGGAGCCACAAGGGCCCTCAGTTTGCAAGACCCGAGCAAGGCCCTTAACTCGCAGAGCCCTCAGGAGTGACCTGACGGCACTTTACACACAATGCACAGCCTTGATTATGAGGACAGCTACACAGATCATCAAAATAGTGTGGTTCCAAGATTTGGCTACTAGCCTTAGTAATATCAGCTTTAATAAATGGGATTAATTCAATAATACATTAACAGGAGTCTAAAGCATGACAACAGTGCTTAAAAACGATTTATTGTTTAAATTATTATTGTATGCGTACAGGTTTTTCTATTTTATGGAGACGTAAGAAACTTTAACATACAAGGAAGGTAAGCCAGACAATGTAGCTGGACACGCTTACTGGAAGATGACGATGCCGCTTCCTGCTCTGAGGCTGTATTGGACACGGCGGTCATTTTGCACCAGGAAGGTTTACAAGTTCACAGAAATTCAAAGTGGAAAACAGTACAAACCTTTGAATGCTTCCAGACTTCTACACCACCATGCTCCAGTTCTTGAGTGCAATTGGAACTGATCATCGAATCAAAATTCCTCAGCACCTGTATGGAAAAGCATTCGGTCAAGTCATACAGACGTGCTGCACATTCACTTGACTATTATCCCCTCGTATCCATTCGAACTAGTGAGACTCTGCTTTAAATCACAAAGTCCCCAGGTCATGCCTCACCTTAGACATGACTTAATTATGAGGCCTTAAGTAACACCCACCCACCCCGTTCTGAGACAGAATACCTCCCCCCCCCCATCTGTAATGAAGGAGGAAACATCTTTGCCGTTCAAATCACTTTGTGTGCCCGTTTCAAAAGACAAAGGGCATACACTGAAATCTAGCTAGTAATTAACACCTATTCTCTTTGCCAGCTGCAAGTGCTCATCATGGAAGATGCACAAGTCAAATATAGATCTCTAGAAGGGGAACACCTTTGATGACCTCTTCCAAAATGCACACAGTGCTCTTGACAGTTCTTAGGGGAAGATGCATGGTCACAAATACACAGTCCTTGTTTTACCCTCACTACCACTGTGAGCAAGAGGCCTCTGAGGTCTAGTGACAGAACAGGGGGCAGAGAAACCCATTAAGCAATATTTGCACAGATGAAGAGGAGCAGGAACATAATCAGTGGGTTGTGAGAGGGTTGTTTTTTTTAAATCCAGGCACTAAAGAAAGAGATTAGCTTGCTGTGCAAATCATAGCTAGTCTATTTAAAGATATTAGCCATACGACTGACAACAGTTTAACACAACAAAATCTCAGTCTCCGGTTTCTGGGTTTTTTTAAGATTACATGTTGGGTTACCAACCTCTAGGTGAGTCCCAGAGTTCTCCCCAAACTACAGCTAGTCTTCCGACTACAGAGATCAGTTCCCCTGAAGGAAATGACAGCTTTGGAAGGCGATTCTGTGGCATCCCTTCCTTCCTGAGCACCATCCCTTCTCCAAGCTCCACCCCTCCTATCGCCAGGAATTTCCCAAACTGGGGCTGGCAACTCAAAGGCGATGCAGCTCTGGAATCGTACACACCCCTTGTGTTAATTCAGACATACTTCTCTTCCTTTCCTTTGGCAGTACCCAGAAAAGTGACAACCTAGCAGGAGGAAGTGGGTTCTTGCTCTTATTACTGGAAACATACCTGGAAGGCAGTCAGAACACTGAGCACGCAAGCCCATCTGCCTTACCTCCCCATAGCGGATCAGCAGGGACGTCTTTGACCCTAGAGCCGAAAGGATGCCCGCTATCTCCACAGCTATGTACCCAGCACCAACAACAATAGCGCGCCTGAGGGAAGGAAGAATACATTATGGGACGCCTGTCTCAAAAGCTTTCAATATATTCACAGTTACACTCTGTATTTAAAAGATCAAACATTTAGAGCTATTTGGCTCGTCTTTCGTCAATACCGGAGAAACAAATGGCCACACCAGTAGGCAGGGAAAACAAGGGGGAAAGCAGGTGCAAGGTGAAAATATTTATTAGAGCTTTATAGATCCTGATGCGTTTCGTTGTTGAGCTTCTTTGGGTATCTGTTATAAAATATAAAAACAAATCATTAAAATATGAACACTTTGGAGCTAAAATTTTATACAGAATTAAGATGAAATACATAGCCACACGGATTCTCCTTCACAAGGTTTTATAACAGCTTCCGAGACCACAGCAATTGTTGTTTCCAAAGTGGAAGGTACACACAATCGTTTATCTACATAATTCAAATTAGAATTTATTGATTTATTTATTCAATTTATACCCCGCCCTCCCCACGAATGATAAAAAGGAAGAAACCATGACAACATACTTTCTACAAGGTTTTTCAAATTCCACCTTGAGCAATGAGGTGGGTGAGACAGAAATGTCTGTACTTTATAATTAGGTATGATGTAATATATCCTTGGGTCTTAAAGGGCCAGTGATTCTTGAGAAAGGTGCTTAGTCACGATGACCAGACAACTGGAGGAGATCCAGACTTTTGTTTAGCCCATAAGGGACTAAAGATCCAAGTCTAAGTATTCACTCGCGAGAATGGAGAAAGGAAGGCGAGTGGATACTTAGACTTGGATCTTTAGTCCCTTATGGGCTAAACAAGAGTCTGGATCTCCTCCAATTGTCTGGTCATCATGACTAAGCGCCTTTCTCAAGAATCACTGGCCCTTTAATTTCCAAGAATATATTACATCATACCTAATTATAAAGTACAGACATTTCTGTCTCACCCACCTCATTGCTCAAGGTGGAATTTGAAAAACCCTGTAGAAAGTATGTTGTCATGGTTTCTTCCTTTTTATCATTCTAATTTGGATTATGTAGATAAATGTTTGTATGTTCCTTCCACTTTGTAAACAACAATTGCTGCGGTCTCAGAAGCTGTTTGGTGTAGTGGTTAAGTGCGCGGACTTTAATCTGGGAGAACCGGGTTTGATTCCCCACTCCTCCACTTGCACCTGCCTGGATGGCCTTGGGTAGCCGTAGTTCTGTCAGTGCTGTTCTTGAAAAAAGCAGTTTCTGTCAGAGCTCTCTCAGCCCCACCTACCTCACAGGGTGTCTGTTGTGAGGAGGGGAAGGGAAAGGAGTTTGTAAGCTGCTCTGAGACACCTTTGGGTAGTGAAAGGCGGGAATATAAATCCAATCTCTTCTCTTCTTATAAAACCTTTTGAAGGAGAATCTGTGTGGTTATATATTTCATCTTAATTCTGCATAATGTTATAAAGCATTTTGAAGGAGAAACTGTATGGTTATGTATCTCACTTTAATTCTATATAAAGTTTTATCTCCAAATTGTTAATATTTTAAGTATTTATGTTTTTATATTTTATAACAGATCCCCTGAAGAAGGTTAACAGCAAAATGCATAGGGATCTATAAAGCGCTAATAAATATTTTCACCTTGCACCTGCGTTTTTCCTTTCCCCCCTCACCTTTCCTCAAGCCATGGGATAGGGTGTAGGGGGAGAGAGAGAGTACCCATCCCTTTATAGGGATATTTCAGGCCCTTTCCTCAAGTTCAGCAAAAAATAAAAAGTGTTCAGCAAAAAATAAAAAGCAAGTCCCTAGTCCTCTTACTTAGGGAAA